AGGATTGTTTCTCTCTTGTGTACCGTGCAGTGTTTCTCCTGTTGGCAGAGCATTCTCATACCAGAGAAGACTTTAATGCTCTCATCCAGCTGTGAGCCCGCCGAGTGATGGCCGATGATGGTGTTGTTGGTGGAGTTGAAGAGCCCAGGTCCATGTCTAACCGCCTGTTGCTAACTGTAGAGTTCAATGTCACTCTACTGCAAGAGCTGGCAGGTCTAGTACCGATTCAGAGACAAATACCCATGTTTGGAGAAGGGCGGAGGATATGCAGCGGCCGCTGATACAATCGGTTGGTCAGCGATCCTCGCTGCACCATGTGCTATGTGCTATCCTTGGGTTATCTGTAAAGCTAGGAACAAAAAAAAAAACATCTTCAACGAGATAGGAGGAAGCCACAATAGGTAGACAGCAAAGACGGCCAAACTTAGGTAGTCCGAGCCTCAGGCACAACCGAGACTATCATTCTTGATCCTACCCACCATCGTCGATCCCGTGTGTCTTGTTTGTCTCGCCTTTTTGCTCGGGTGTAGACTAAGGACTAACCTTGGGAGAGCTGTTTTTCTTACGAGGTCTCTTTTCTTCGAATCTCTCACCTCCTCTTCCTCCTCCTCCTCTTCTCTTCATCCTCTCCTCACCAGAGGAGGCTCACCTACACTCTCGAAGCCTCTTGTCATCGTCTTTCATCTGTTACTCTGTTATTCTTCTCCTCTCCGCTTCCCCACACGCTCCAATTGACCTCATCATCCCCCACCAAAGTAAACCGTTGCTACCCCTCGTCGATCGTCGCCCGTGCTTCCCGCCCCTCGTCGAGTTCTAGTCGAGCTTCACTCTGAGCCATGGTTGTTCATGACGGTCACGAATACCTCACCGAGGAAGAGAGACGCCTCAAGGAGGATCGCGATCGCACCAAGTACTGGAAGAAATGGGGCCCTTATGTTGCTGAGAGACAATGGGCTACAGGCATGTGATTCTGACAGTGGTCAACCAGGACCAGTCATGATAAGTCAATTGCTAACCAACGCAAAGTCCGAGAGGATTATAGTCACGATGGAGACGCCTGGAGTCGTGAGTAACCGTTTTTAATGTCGCATCTCATCACCGGCACTAACGAGCTACGTCAGACTTCCCTCACGACCACGCTCGATCGCGCGCATTCCGTTGGGGTGAAGACGGTATCGCTGGTGTCTGCGATACCCACGGCTTCCAAAACATTGGCTTCAGCTTCTGGAACGAGGAAGAGTTAGTCAAATGTCACCGCAGGATAATGAACCACGATTGCTAATGAATCTACAGTGAATTCCTCAAGGAGCGTCTCTTTGGCCTCTCAAATCCCCAGGGCAACCATGGCGAGAGTGTAAAAGAGGCTCACTTCCACGTCGACAATACTCCTGTCAGTCATCTTCGCATCTCACTTTCATTCAATTGGCCTGCTAACGATTTGATTAGACTGTAATTCGCCAGATTTCCAAAAAAAATCCACTCTAAGCTGACCAGTCATGATAGCACTCTTACATGAAATTCCTTTACAAATATCCACAGAACAAGTTCCCTTACAAAGACCTGATCGACGAAAACGCTCGACGAGGAAAGGAAGACAAAGAATACCAGATCACCGATACCGGGGTCTTCGACGAGGACAGATACTGGGACATCTTCATCGAGACTGCGAAAGAGACCGATGACCCCGATGAGATCCTCTTCCGAGTTACTGCCTGGAACCGAGGCCCTGACCCTGCGCCTCTTCACATCATTCCCCAGGTTTGGTTCCGCAATACCTGGAGCTGGGGTCGAGAGCCTGAGGAGAAGAAGCCATCGATTAAATACGTCGACGAGAATGTGGCCAAGTCTAACCACTGGAGCTTGGGTGAGCGACACTTCTTGTGCTCCCCTTCACCCGGTGTTGGCTCCAGCGGCGACGATGTGATGCCCAAATTCATGTTCACTGAAAACGATACCAACTTCAAGGCTCTCTATGATCAAAAGAACAAGCAGCCCTATGTCAAGGATGCGTTCCACCGATACATCGTCGACGGAGAGAAGGAGGCTGTTAACCCTGCCAAGACTGGCACAAAATGTGCTGCATGGTTCAACTTTAACGAAGACGGCGGTGTTAACCCTGGCGAATGTGCTGGTAAGTACTATTGATTCCAAGCTACATAAAATGCAACTAACTCCCGGTTTAGTCGTTCGATTCCGTTTTACCAGGAGAGACGACAACTACCTCGACGAGGAAGACTTCGATGATGTTATTGAGACCCGCAAGGAGGAGGCCGATGAGTTCTACTACAGACTCAGTCCTCTACCCATGGCAGATGATTTGCGCAATATCCAGCGACAAGCTTTCTCCGGCATGATGTGGACTAAGCAACATTATCACTTCATCTGGGATCACTGGGCGAATGGTGACCCTACTATGCCGCCTCCTCCAGCTTCCCGGAAAGACATCAGAAACTCGGCCTGGAAACATATGCACTGCGACGACATTCTATCCATGCCCGATTCATGGGAGTATCCTTTCTTTGCTGCTTGGGATAGCGCCTTTCACTGTATTCCGTTGGCCATGATTGACCCCGACTTTGCCAAGAAGCAGCTTGATTTGTTCACTCGAGAGTGGTACTGTCATCCCAATGGACAGTTGCCAGCGTAAGTGACTTGCTCTGCTTGATACCTAGAACGTCATGTGCTGACATGTCTCCAGATACGAATGGAACTTTGGTGATGTGAACCCACCAGTCCATGCATGGGCGACTTTCAGAACGTTCAAAATTGAGCGCAAGATGTATGGCCGTCAGGACTTGGACTTCCTAGAGCGCGTGTTCCAGAAGCTACTCCTCAACTTCACCTGGTGGGTGAATCGTAAGGATGCCGATGGCAAGAACGTGTTCGAAGGAGGTTTCTTGGGCCTAGACAATATTGGCTTGTTCAACCGCTCAGAGCCCCTGCCCACTGGCGGTGTCCTAGAGCAAGCCGACAGTACTGGATGGATGGCGTTCTACTGTCTTTCTATGCTCAACATTGCTCTTGAGCTGGCCAAGCATCGCCGAATCTACGAGGATATCGCATCCAAGTTCTTCGAGCACTTCATCTTCATTAGTGATGCGATGACCTTCAGAACCGGCCACAAGGACGAAAAGTCCCTATGGAATGAGGAGGATGGCTTCTACTATGATGCCATTTCCTGGGGCGGCCCCTGGATCCAGCAGCTGCCCGTCCGATCGCTTGTGGGCTTGATCCCTCTTTATGCGACCATTACTCTGGAACCAGAGTTGATCAACAGGCTCCCTTCTTTCAAGAAGAGAGTTGACTGGTTCATTGAGAACCGATGCGATCTCGCTGAGAGGAACATGGCCAGTATCCGAAAGCGAGGTAAGGGCAACCGTATTCTGTTGTCCATCGTGAGCAAGGACCGATTGGAGAAGATCCTCAAGCGCATGCTCGACGAGGACGAGTTCTTCAGTGACCACGGTATTCGCTCACTCTCCAAGTTTCACAAGGAGAACCCATTCTCCATGGACGTAAACGGCCAGAAGTTCTGTGTTGGATACGTGCCGGGTGACTCAGATAGTGGTCTGTTTGGCGGCAACAGCAACTGGAGAGGTCCTATTTGGCTCTGCGTCAACTTCCTGCTTGTCGAATCCCTGCAACGTTTCTTCCTCTTTTACGGACCAGACTTCCAGGTAGAGTGCCCGACTGGTAGTGGCGATTACATGCACCTGGGCAAGGTATCTGAAGAGATTCAGCACCGTTTGCAGCACCTCTTCGCCCGTACCGATGACGGAAGGCGCAGCATCAACGGCGGTGATGATCGTCTTGACTTTGATGAGCACTGGAAGGATTACCTTTGGTTCCACGAATTCTTCGATGGTGATAACGGCCGTGGTCTGGGAGCTACTCACCAGTGTGGATGGACTGGACTGATTGCTCGCATGATTCATGATACTGGGTATGTTTTTTGTAATCTTCTTGTGATGAAACAGTGTACTGACATTTATAGCGTCAACTGCCGCCTTCCTCATACTCCTCGCACGCCTTCAATTGCCATGGGTCATTACTTTGACGACATCTTCCATCGAAGCGTCGAGACGGGTGTTCCTCACTCTGGTATGCCTCGCATCAGGCGGTCGTCCACAGCTCGGTCCATCGGTGCCCGTAGTGACTTTGACGATGATACTCGCTCTGTGACCAACTCGATCTATCACGATGACCCGGATCGAGCCAGGGAGCGCACTGAAGCCGATGCTCACATGCACAGCTACGTCTCCGAGCAGCTTGAGAGGTACAGAGATGACAAGAAAGATGGAAGCTATGAGCATGATGACGAGTTCGAGACCAAAGCATAGGAGGCTTGCATGGTTATTGGGTGAAGTGAAAGATTGGTGCTGTCAAGAGGAAGGAATAGGTAATTGGGCGTTCTGAAAAGCAGGCCTGGCCAATTGTGCCGTGTTCGGAGTAGCAGGGTATCCTGAGTTTATGGGCTTAGACATATCATTCAGCAATCCAAGTAGTCATGATACAGTAGAGTTCTTCTTTCGTATTGTTGTCCGTGATGAATATTCAATGACATCACATTATAGCAATACATGATAAATTTGTTCAAGTCACTGAAATGAGTTATTTGATGGGGGTGAAGCTTTCGATTCCGTGTGAGCTCGTCTTCCAAGTCACAGAGATTCATCGTTTTTTTCTCTTTCTTTTACAACAGACAGACAAACTGAAAGTCATCACGCCGAACAAAGAGAATTCAATTGGGGAACTGCTTTATTGCATGCCCTGTTCACACCCTCCTACACTATTCTTTCCATCGACGCTCTCCCCATTCTTCTCCTCCAGCCCGGGGATACAACAGCAATTAGGCTTGGAAGACTCAAAAAGAAACAGGCGGAAGAGAGGCCCCAGACGCCGACGGGCAAGCCGCTTAGAGCTGGTTTTGCGTGGTGACGAATCCCACGAGACGAGGCAAAGGAGACACTAAATAGAGTTTGTATACTATGTTGGTGGTTTTACAGAGTGTCCGTGAGGAGCTTGTTCATCTTGGCGATGCGGGAAGACACGCTGAGGTCGATGGTTCGGTCACCGATCTCAACGACGAGTCCACCAACAATCTCGGGGTTAACCTGGGGGAAGGGGTTAGGGTTTGAGTTGTGGTGATGGTATGGTCTAGACATACCTCGTTGGTGACCTTGAGCTTCTGGCCCTGGCTGACGTAGGCAGACTTGGAGACGGCAGTCTCCAATCGGTTGAGGGTTCGCTTGTCGAGAGCCTAGAGACGACAATGTCAGTCCATTGTCCTTTATGTTCCATGCCATGATGTCTATCTGTTCATCCATCCTCGTCATATGCCTAATATCGATATGCTGTGACGTAGCTTCCTACTTCCAACCCATGTCGATTCATATATGCCCAAACGTACCTGAGCGCTGGTAACAGTGAGCTCAACCTCACCGCGGGCGGCAGAGATGATGGAAGAGAACTTCTCAACAACACCGGGGATAAGTCCAAGTCGGTTGTTCTCGGCGAGGGTGGCGAGGAAGTTCTTGACGGTCTCGTCCTTGGCGTTGATCTGCTTCTCGAGCTCCTGGACGATGGCCTTCTTGTCGGCCGGGGTGAGGGTCGGGGCGGACAGGACGGTGGCGAGCTTGGGGTCCTTCTCGATGAGAGCGCCGAGTCTGTTCAGGGCATCGGCAGCGGCGTCGATGCTCGAGGTCTTGACGGCAGCAGTGTACTAAATTGACGCAAAAGAAAAAATTGCGTGTCAGCGACGACGCGATTCCAATTGAGGTTTCTGTGCCATGGCGAGGGGAGTGCAATTGGCCTACAAAGCCAATTGACACATGGAAGGTTCGAGGTACGGGGCTTTCTTCATTGTAGGTGGTGCATTATTACCAGAGCAGTAGCATATGTGCCATCAACGCCGAAGACGGAAATCGGGGGCTTGACTTCGGTCGTGGCAGCGGCAGCGAAGGATCGGACGGGGGCGGCTCGGAGGGCGAGGGCTCGCTGAGGAGCGGCGACTCGGGCGGCGCGGAGAACCTGTCGCGAGAACATGACGGCGGCTTCTTTGACGAGGACGAGGAGGAGGGAGATGAGAAGAAGGGTGTGATGGTAGATGTTCGGCTTCAATTCACTTGGAGGTTGTTGCTAGCCTGGGGTCTCGGCAATTTTCGGGCGCTCGATGCCTTACATCCGTTCCAGGCATCCACTTTCTGATTACATAACTCAACATCAGATATCAAATATCAGACATCTGCAACTCTTGGCTCTTGAGTTTCCATCAGAGAAGGTCAGTCGGTTCATTGGATACTAAAGGAAAGGACTTTCTGTTTCCTCAGGACGTATCCTTGTTAATGCACATGCTAGTTACTATAGTGCGGAACCCCCAATGGCGCAGAACGACTAACAACCTGCTCCCTATCAATCATGATCATACAGCCAAACAGCTTCTTACACTCTAGAATCTTTCCTCAAACGCCCAAAACTCCCAATTGCTAAGTATCAGTCCCTTCACCCTCAAACTTCTCCTAGTCGCTCTTGAGCATGCTGTCCACCAGATCACCAAGAGGACCCCAGTAATCTCTACCACTCGCCAGGCCGTGCTCATCAACAAACAGCACGTACTGCTTGAAGCTTGTGTTGAGGTGCGGCTCGAGTCCGAGCTCACGAATCACGGGGTAGTGATGACAGTAGATGTGTGCATATACACGGTACATGCGTTTAAAGATCTGGCGAACCAGTGCTGGGAATGATTTGGGGAAGGGTACGCCTGGTGACTATTAGTGTAAGTGTCCAAGACTATAAAAAGGTCCAATGCATACCGATCTTGCTGGGCAAGACTTGTTCGTTGTCAATATTCGCCTGCACCCATGACATGAGTTGCTCGATGTATGCTGGCGCAGGCATCTTGGTTGGACGCTTGTAGTTCTCATTGTCTTGCCACAAATACTCGAACCTAGTCCAGTCAGTTTCTGAGTTGTCTTTGGCTTAGGAAAGCGTACTCATCAGTAGCCTTCATTTCAGGGCATGACTGTGGTGAGCAGAACTCGGTGATGGCACCATAGAGAAGGTTGATCTGGTTATAGAAGTCCACCACTGAGCCATCAAATTAGCTACGCTTCCTTACAAATATCAATTTTTGACAAACTTACTGTTGACAGCTAACCATTCATTCTCATCCTCGCCTTCTGGAAGCTTGACAACCTTGCGCAAGCTGCCACCGCCGAGCGTCACCTCGGCATATTGTCGCAACTGATAGCTGGCCGAGCCGCCCTTACCCACGCGCGGGCGGAACTGGTTTCTCGTCCGCTGGTTACTGTTCACCAAAGTTCCCGGATTAGCAAGTGTCAACTCATCCACAAACATCAGAGGTTCTCCTGATAGGGAGACGGGTATAATGGTCGTTTCCAACTGCTGCATCGTCAGGAGCGACTTCGGGTTCAAGTATCGAAACATGCTGGCGGTGTGCGGCGGCGAACACGGAGACTCCATGGTTAAGGTGTTTAGGAACAATGTAGAGAGACTAACACGGTAGTTAAGAAGGCTTGAGCCATTGTGAGCGGCGATTTCGACGAGGTCTCAAAAGGTCGAGTTGCGATGCTGTTGCATTCCAGCGGTTAGCGGGGCAATCAATCATGGGTTATAGTGAGGGGAGACAAACAAGGCTGGGTAAAATGAGACAGATACCTCTAATCTTTCTCGTGGATAATTAGATGCGATATTGCAGAATCGTAAACTGCTAGGATGGCGCTTTTTGTATATTGTTTTGGTAAGGGGTTGCGGCTGAACCTTATTGCTGAGGGTGATAGGGCAAAGGTGCAATAGGTAAGGTTGAGTTGTACGTTATCGATGGCGTAGGACAGTTGCACTGTTTACTCTATTTCCTGATTGGTTTGGTTGCTACGGAGCCTGGTCATCCAACGAACCCCACCACTACCTACCTACGCTGCCACTGAAGCTTGATGCCAGTGCCAGTGTAGCCCGTGCATTTGACGATTGAATTTCATGGCTGATCAAACTATGATTATTATGACACTGTTTATTACGGCTCTTTCGAGGGCGGCTTGCATGTATTCGAATTAAGACTGAGTGTTTTAAATATATGCCGTAGCCATTGCCGGCTCTACTAGATTAGGGATGGCTGTGCTCTAATATTTGTGATTGCGTACACCACTTCATCTATATAAATTTGACTTCAATCACCATCTTCCTCCACGGCCTCTCCCTTGCCAGCTTCCTCGTCCTCTCCCGCCCCTCCCGCCCCCGCCCCCGCGACCTCTGCCACGACCAGAGAATCGTTGATCAGTTTTGGGCGGTCCCTGTGCTTTCCTCTGTCGCCTCTCTGCATCTGTGGCATCCCATATATTTGCAAGTCCCATAAGTTCACAGAAAGCCGCCGTCTGAGGGCTTGTGTACTCCTCTGGCTGCTCGTTAACAATCTCGGGAGCACCTGGTACGTGAGGCGGTGCTGTGATCTCAAAGTTGTAAGGGACATCTAGCTTTCCACTCTTGATAATATTTTCCTCGATCCATTCTCTCTCTTTTTCGATGAGGGGCAGATAATGCTCTTCCCCAAGATCAGGAGGCGCCTGTACACTTCGGTCACCAACAATCAAGGAGTCATGGAAGACGCGAGTGATTGCGAGCCATTCTGGATCGTATTTTAACCTCCAGCGAGGTGATTCTTGGGATGGGGGATACTCAGAACTCGTCTCTGGCTTGAAAGGTTGAATCTCGCACAATTGTAGATAGTGTCTATGCCCTTCGCACTTGTCCAGGGCAAGAAATCGAACCTCTTTGTTCGTGATCTCAGGAGGTACTGGTTGACCTGGTGTTTTCTTTGGTTGAGGTCGAGCAAACGATGCTGGAAGCTGCGCCCTTAGCTCATCCGACACTTCATTTGATGCCTCTGGAGCTTCTTTCGTCTCAGCCTCACTCTTCTCGACTTCTGCAACGGGTTCAGCCTTGGAATCCTCGTCATCATCATCATCATCATCATCCATATCCAAGTCTATTTCGTCAGGGTTGACCTCTGTAGCTGGGGCAGGGGCAGGGGCAGGGGCAGAAGCAGGAACAGGAACGAGAACTTCCTTGCTCTCCTGGGCCACAGGCTCGGCGTCTTTGTATACCTTGACCGCAGCGAACTTGACGTGCATGTGTGCTGAGAACCAGTAAGGAGGTCGCAGGCGATCCATGACATACTCTGCTGCCACGTTACCAAGGGTACCATCTATGGACTCCTGTTTAAAGAAAGGCTTCTTTTTGAAGAGCTCTGCATGATCCCCATGCCACTCAACTGCACGAGGCCAGTCGTGACTAAGGCCGATGTCCACCTGAGTCCGTACTTGAAGCATTTTCCGGACGTCGAATTCTCGAATGTGGTACCACGACTTAACGTCATCACCGCTGAATGGAAGCCTCTCGTGATGCGGCTTTCGATAGTCAAATCCTTTCCAGATACCAGACAATCCAGCGATGCGCAGTGGGCCGAAGCGCAAGATATTGGCAGCACCCATGTAATAGATATTGGGTGCTACCCAGCCTCCATAATAAAGCTCCCAGAGATGTGAACTGGCTTCGTGGTTTCCAGCAATGAATATTGTTAGATAGGGTGCTTTTTGTTCACCAGAGTAGTACCTGGGAAAATCTCCTAGGCGTCGATACTTGACAGGGCAAGACATGATGCTCAAATCTGCAGCATTTCGTACGGACTGCGACGCGGTGTGAGCAAACTAATGGAAAGGGCATTGAAGCTGAACGTGAGCTGAAAATACCTGAAAATCACCTCCAATGATGAGAATATCAACGCCATCCCACCCACGTTGCTTACAAGACTCTTCCACTGAGGCGTAGATTGCATCTAACGTGCCATGGCCCTTGGGTTGTTAATGCCATCTCGATTTCTCTATTGCTCGAGGAAACTCACACATCCTTCTACTGCAACTCGGACGCCCTGCGTCTCGAATGTGTTTGCAGCCATTTTTTTGTGTTGACGTGAAATTGTAGTTGTAGATGGAAAGTTGAGGCTGAGTGGGTTCACAGACAGAAGCTGCTTTCCTTTATGGGCAAGCAACTGCTTACAGCGATAACACCAAGCAATGGATCAATTAGTCCCACGCTTTCCTGCCTAAAACAATGACTCAGATATTGAAATGAGACAACCGTTTATATCACATCAGCTCAAGACTTAATAGTCATTTTTTCTCTATTGGAGGCATGGCAGCGCTACCAATTGGTCCTGGGTATCCACCATGCTGAGATGTACATAGCAGAAGAACCACCAAGCACAAGGATACCCAGTCTCTTGATGTGAGTCCGTGGATTAAGGACAAGTCTTTGCTTGGGGCAGTGACCATTGAGTGGTAATGCTTGATCGTGAGTCCACACATCCTTGTCTTTCATGCCGCATCCGTCAAGTTAAGTGAATCTTATGTACGATGGACTATTCCTTCCCTGCCTTCTTATGGGATTACTCCTAGGGTGCATCAAGTGCAGAACATTGATGACATACATTGAAAAGTCTCACTTAAAACAATTTCACAATCAAGAAATGTTGCCCTTCAGAAAAAGCGAAAGCTCAATGCGTCAGCTGAGTAACGCAGAGTGAGAGGGTTACTTTAATCTTCCATCTCTAATAGACGTTCGACCCACGGAGGAGTGAAGAGAAGAACGCATATGCTGAAATGGTGACAAGTCACAGTTAGGCATGTTGGCATCGGAATCAGGCAAATAGATCTGGCCAGGTTCGACGTGTGTCAATCGTTTCTAGTGTAAGCCCATTACCATCAATCGCAAAAAATAAAAATAAAAATAAAACTGTAAGGTCTGAAGAGAGCTGCATAAGACCGACTGAACCTTACCATACCACCTCCAAAACGCCGTCATCAAGTGCTGAGATTAGGGCATATTTTTCACCCCCATCTCTGAGTTACAGCTTCTTCTTACTTCATGCCCATATTCGCCCTGGATGAGATTAGTACCGAAGCAATCGTTTGTAGCAATGCATGGCTGGGCTGCATACTGGTCCAGGCCCAGGTAATCTGCCGCGGCCAACAGTTCGAGGCAGAGCTCGACCGGGATCTCCATGTCGGGAACATCCTCGCTGTTACGGTAACGGTACCAGTAGTGGAAGTATTCGACAACCTTATCAAGGACCATGGCGCTGTTGATAGAATCATCATCAGCGTCTAGCTCTTCCAGGTTTGAAATGGTTCAGCGGAGACAAGGCACGACCGGGCTTGGTGTGCGTGTGGTCAGGTCAAGTGTAGTGAGTAGTCATGTAGCCCAACTGAGAGATCTCGGTTGTTCTGTCTGGAAAGCGTGATGAAGTGTCATCAATCCACGGAGCAGGCCACCTGGAGAGGATGGCATGTCGATGATATCAACCTACCTCATCTCTTGGAAGACACAACGGGCCTCTTTGGCTTCGGCGAACTGGCTTCTCACGTCGAGCATGCCCTTGATGATTGGGCTGACAAGAGCAGCATCGCGTAGAACGACAAACTCGAAGCCGTCGCCAGAAACGAGAGTGATGTATTTGCTGGGTGTCTTCCAGTCCATGGCCGGATGTTCTTTGCTGCGTTGCCGTCGACAAGTTTACAAAAGAAAGAAAGGGAAGAAAGAGAGACGAGAATTTCTTGGAGAGGAGATGCAGAAATAGGCAGAGACTGAATGGATACCTATGGAGCAAACACGCGCTAAAACTCAGTAGCTAGGTAGGACCTTGTCGTGAACAAAGAAGCAAGAAAGTGAGTGACCTTGGCTTGGAAATTTTCTCGTGAGCGAGCAAGCACGTGCACGGGCCAATCATCTCCGTCATTTTCAGCTCCGATGCATGAAGTAAGGTAAGGTAACCCCCCGGATAAAGATAGCAGTTGCCCCGTCAACATGTTTACTCGGGTAACTTGGTGGTGCAACAAAGCCACACTTGAGACTTGACTCCCCATAGTCCTTCCACTCTTTGGTCTCGAAGCGACTAAGTTTAAACTTGCAGCAAACAAACAACTCAAAATCCGAGTCAACAGAGGCAAAGGAGCTCTACCAGACAAGAAAATCATCTTTCAAAGGACCCCTTTTTAGCCCCAAACATCTCAACTCGACTCAATTAGGCCCTTGGTCGTCTTCCTCTTGGTCTTTGTCTCGTCCTCGTCCTCGCCCTCCTCCTCCACATCACTCATCTCCCCCGTTTGCTCCATCGCATTAAACGCTCGATTGCCTTGTCTCTCTTCCACCCCGCACCATCACGAGCACTATACAGCCGAACATTCTTCATTCCTTAGAAGCGCATTCTTAAGGCGATCTCTACCAAAGGCCAAGCAATCCTCTAAAAGACTCGCGCTTGAGCCTGCACTCCCGACCCTGCAGCTTAGCTTTGCGCCCAAGCATGGCATCATCGCATCAGTATCGTACTTCGTACTTTGATACCAACGAGCAGATCCGACGTCAACAGCGCACGCGCTCCAGTGAGGGTACCGTCAGCACCACTATGAGCTCGTCGACGGGCCGTGAGTCGGCAGCGACTCACGTCACAGAAGCGCCCACCTTTTCCAAGAAGATTGTTGTCGTCGGTGATGGCGGTTGCGGCAAGACCTGCTTGCTCATTAGCTACAGCCAAGGTTACTTCCCAGAGGTGAGCAGCTCTCTCTAGCTACTCTCAGCGTACCGAGACTAACAACCACAGAAATATGTGCCTACTGTCTTTGAAAACTACATCACCTATCCTATCCACTCAGCCACTGGTAAGACTGTGGAACTTGCATTGTGGGATACAGCCGGCCAAGAGGAATATGACCGTCTCCGACCGCTCTCATACCCTGAGACCGACTTGATCTTTGTATGCTTTGCTATCGACTGTCCGAACTCGCTGGACAACGTTCTTGATAAGGTACGATCATATCCTTTCCCTTCTCAGCGCATCTTGTACTGATCACTCTTCTATAGTGGTACCCTGAGGTTCTACACTTCTGCCCATACACTCCTCTGGTTCTTGTGGGTCTCAAGTCAGATCTTCGTTACAAGAAGACTTGCATTGATATGCTCAAGACGCAAGGTCTTACTCCAGTCACCACGGAGCAAGGTATGGCCGTTGCTAAGAAGATGAACGCGCAGTACATGGAGTGCAGTAGCAAGGAAATGTCAGGCGTCGACGAGATTTTTGAGCAGGCTATCAACACTGTCGTCGCTAATGACCGGAAAACCATCGAGGCGGCCGCAGCCTCAGGTTCTTCCAAGGAGAGCAAGTCATCAACACCTGGGGTGGGACAGATTAAGAGGAAGAAGAGAAGGTGTCCAATCCTCTAAAGGCCCACGGCCAGAGATGGATGAAAGATTGATTTCTTGGATTGAGGAACTTTTCTACTCATCATTGTCTTGCAAAGCCTCCCTTGTCATCTTCTCCTGGGGAGGGGAGGCCAGGAGGGCCACATAAAGAAAAGGCAGCTCGATGGGCCAGCATTAAAAGAGTTGTAATGACCATCGCATGAACATTGTTTCTTATAACGATTCACATTTACGTTATTTCTTTACCTTCATTGCTGTTTTAACATTGATAAGGAACTCACTCGTGGTAGGTAAACAGGCCCAGAGAGAGGACATCGCAGGCGTTCACCTACACAAGAGATGTATCTCGGAGGGATAGGGGGACATAGTTCGGGATCGAAAGTATGGCATGGCATGGGAGGAAGCGCGCACATTTGTATTTGCTTTTTTTATTATTTGAAAGTGACTTATGAGATAGGGGAGCAACTAGAGTTGCAGGCTGTTTTTTTATATGTATCCTACCGTTGGCACCAGGCAAGTTGTGGTGCTGGGTGTTTTGATGGCCTTCCTTTTGTTAGTGTTTTGGTGCGTGGTTGTACTGAGTTGATAGGATCGCTGGAATCAAAGCTGACAACTAAATAAGTGCGTTCCTGTGATGTATATTAATGCCTCCTGCGATAGATTCGTAACTCATCAGTTGAGTGAACAAAGACTGAGTCATACTTTCGAATATAAACTTCAGCCCGTGAACCCTGATAAATAAATAAATCTTTGCCACAACGGCACGGCGGTGAGATTAACAGTCAGTTCATGATTTATTTATTTACTTCTAGATTTATTTCGCGAGTTCTATGACCACATTGTGACTATCTTTTGCACAAGCCCGCTTCACATGCTTCATCGTCATCATAGCTGAGTTGCCAGCTTAGGTACCTATTCATTTTTACCTCTGGACATTATGGATCATGACCTGAAAAGACCTTCTTAGGTCGACTATACCGCCCAGTTGCCCCCACTGTTATACATGTACGTCTTGTTATTTATGTACAAATGTCCCAGCTCTTTTGAAACTTTTCTCCTGTCCAAGCATCTGTAACCATCATACAAGTTGAAAAATGACCATCATGAGGGGAGCATTATACATAGAGCCAACGCCAACCGATATAACCTCGTCTAAAAATACACGCAAGATGCGATTGAGTGTGGAGATGTCATCAAAGCACACATCTCCGTCATTATGGAAGAACGATATGCTTATTTGTTCTTGACAACACCGACCTTGGCGGCGCGCAGCACCCGGCCGTTAAGCTTGAAGCCCTTCTGTTGAACGAAGAAAACAGTGCCATCCTCCTTATCGGGCTGGGGAGTCATAAAAGTGGCCTCCTGCTCGTTGGGGTTGAACTTCTCGCCCTCGGGATTGAGCCGCTCGAGGCCATGCTTTTTGAGGGTGTTCATGAGGATATCTTCGGTCATCTTGAGACCCTCATACAGGTTGGCGAGATCCTCCAGGCCCTCAGGTCGGTCTGGGGCGTTGAGCTTATCCTTGGGAACCATTCCAAGGGCGCGGTCGAGGTTGTCGACGCTGTCGACAAGATCCTTGGCGAATTTTTGGATGGCAAAATCTTTAGCGGACTTGACCTCACGTGTGGTACGCTCTTGAAGGTTGCGGAAGTCGGCGACGGTGCGCATACACTTATCCTACAAGAGAGTCAGTCTTCCCATATCAAATTGTGTATTTGATTATTACAAACCTTCCAGTCCTTAACCTCGTTCTCCTTGGCTGCAAGTTCCTTCTTGAGCTCAGCGAGAGGATCGCTCTCTTTTTCAGCCTCAGCGGGCTTTTCCTCCGTTTTGGCCTCCTCAGCAGGCTTGGCCTCAGTCTCCTTGGCGTCACTGTACCATCTCGAGACGGCGGGCTGAACGGATCTGAGAGCAAAGGCGGGCGCAGCCTGGAATTGCGACTGAATAAAAGGTCGGGGGACGGCAACCTTGGGAGCAGCTCGCAGAGCGCGGGATGAGGTAGCAATGGCCTGGCGGAACATTGTGAGGGTATATGAGGAATTATATTTTAGATTTTGGTAGCAACAAAGTAAATGACGAGGAAGACTCGACGGAGATAGGCTGATGCACTTAAGTAAGTGTACAGTGGCTGTGGTGGGTAGGTAGGTATCAGGAAGTTTGGAAGCTCCGAGTTAGGACTGAAATTTTAGCTGTCGGCATGATTGATTCGCTTCGCATTTCGAAGGGTCGCGCCGGCTTCTCTTCCGGGGACGGGAAGCTTCCATTCGGCGGGCAATAGCAGGGCAAGGGCCATATCTAGGATCTGATACGTACCTGTCTGGAAATACCTAAGGCCTAGTGTAGGCGGATCAATAAAAGCCCGTCACTGCATCATTGATCCAACTAATACCCTGGGCGGGCTGTTTCCTCGCTGTAGGATCCACTCTTTTACTGGCCTACGTCGTGCTCTGGCAACCTGGAGGCTAAGGTTAGGTAGCTGTTCGCTATGCTATTGTTTCAACATACCTCTAACCAAACAATTTCAAGATAACGAACACTGCTCTTCAGCGCCCCCCAAGTCTCGACTCTGCCTTCACAGCGCATTACCTCTCACCCACGGTTACATCCAGCGGCACGCGCAAACACATCCTCCACAATGGCGGCGGCCGAATCAGCGAGGGTCCAGGAAGCGCAGAAGCTTGCCAAGTCTGACCCTCGAAAGGCTGAGGCCATCTACAAGGACATCATCTCCAAGGCTCCTAGCACCACATCCGATGCTGCCACTCGCGAGTACGAGACTGCTCTGATTAGCTTAGGAGAGCTGTATCGAGATGAGAAGTGCGCACTCTTCAACACCGCTGTTCCTGTGCCCCGCTAACAAATACGACAGGAATACCCAAGAGTTGGTGACCCTGGTCAAGGAGAGCAGAACGGTCTTCTCTTCTTTCGCAAAGGCCAAGTCAGCAAAGCTTGGTACGTTCTCAACATCACATGATCCTGCCTCGAGGCCTAACAGCTAGCTAACGCGGTGATGTAGTCCGCCAACTGCTCGACCTCATCAAGGAAATCCCCGATAGCACCGATATCGAAATCTCCGTCACCAAGGACTGTATAGAATGGGCCACCGCCGAGCGCCGCGCGTTTCAGCGACAGGACCTCGAGGTCCGCCTTGTCACTCTCCAGATGGCAAAGCAATCCTACTACGAAGCCCTCGGTCTCATTAACAACCTTCTTCGCGAGCTCAAGCGCCTCGATGACAAGCTCCGACTCGTCGAAGTTCAGCTCCTCGAGTCGAGAGTTTATCACGCCCTTGGCAACATCCCCAAGTCCCGTGCCGCTCTTACAAGTGCACGAACAAGCGCCGCCAGCGTATACACCCCTCCGATGCTACAGGCTAACCTCGACATGCAGAGCGGTATGCTTCATGCTGAGGACAAGGACTTCAACACCGCTTTCTCTTACTTCATTGAGGCTCTTGATGGCTACCACTCTCAAGATGAGAGCACCCGCGCTCAGGCTGCTCTTCAGTACATGCTTCTTTGCAAGATCATGCTAAACCTTGTGGACGATGTCAACAACCTTATGACTTCCAAGCAAGCCCTGAAGTACGCTGGCAAGAACCTAGAGGCCATGAAGGCCATCGCTCGCGCACACTCGAATCGATCACTGGAGGAGTATGAGCGAGCACTTTCTTCCTACCGATATGAGCTCGGTAGCGACGCTTTTATCCGCAACCACCTTCGCCGCCTCTACGATGCTATGCTGGAGCAGAACCTCATCAAGGTCATTGAGCCTTTCTCACGCGTCGAAATCGACCACATTGCCAAGATGGTTGGCCTTGACACTCAGCAGGTTGAGCGAAAACTATCTCAGATGATCTTGGACAAGGTTATTATCGGCGTTTTGGACCAGGGCGCTGGTTGTCTCATCATCTTTGACGAGACGCACCGGGATGAGTCCTATGATGCGGCCCTAGCAACAATCGAGAAACTGAGCAGTGTGGTGGATGTACTTTACACGAACCAAGCTTCCATGCTGGAATAGATTAGCAATGAGAGGCACAATAGTTGTTGTATGTAATATATCTCACGCTTTTAGACCACGTGTTGCAAGAGGGAACAGAGCCGTAAATGCGGAGAGGTGTATACACGTATTCATTTGTTTGCACAACCATATCTGAAGCGAACAACCAAAACTATATGTGCTGACACTTCCAACAGACTGCGCTGCAAGACAGGGGTATGTAGTCATATGCAAAGAAAGCATGAAGGATACAACACGCGGTATCTGGTATCTCCAAACAATAACAGCCACCTACTCATGAAACAGAACGCCTCATGAAATGCTAACTATGCCATATTCGTGATTCTATACAAAAACAAACCAAACCATTTGTAAAAACAGGATTCTTTCATGTCGTTTAGTGAAACATAACTCGCGCTGGTTTTTCAGCCCCTTGGCTCCTCTTCTCTCCGCCCAGAATTAAGCCAGCTAATCTTTTGACGACTTCAACCTCATCCCAGCCACCGACTTGTGCTTTGAAAGCGTCGATGCAGTCCAAGTGCCAACGCTTCAGCGTCATTGACTCGCCTTTGCTTGAGACAGGCCTTCCAAGATATTTGTCTGAACAGCGCTCAAAATGAAGCCTGAAGGGACCTTGACGTCGCTGTTGAACAAGATCATTCAAGAGAAGCCAGTGTCTTCGTGTCCAGACCGTTTGGGAGAGTGGTTCGGGGTGGGTCTGTTTTGTTGAGAGCTTCTCGTTAGAGATAGGAATTTGCGGGATGGTGTTATTCTCCTTGTTGGCAGTTTGAGGTGGTGCACCAGGACGCTGGGCACCTGTGCTTGACTGAGATGCTGCTGAGGAGTTGGATAGTCGACGTTGGTGTCGAACCTTGGCTTGCTCTATGGGAGATAGGACGCTGCTGGTAAACTCAACCACGCGACCAGGAGTGTGAGGTTTAAGTGGCGAACGGAGACTTGATTTGATCGGGGAAGCGTTCTTGGGGGGTAAAGGCCGGAGGAGAGTGCTAGCTGTGGGCCGCTTGGGGGAATCTTCACTTGCATTAGACGTTTGCTGCTGCCACTTTTGTATATCGGCGTGAGTGAGCTGCATCCTCGGTGGAGTGGTGGCACTACTACTCGGGATAGGGGCATGGTCAGGGGCAGCAACCTGACTTGAAGCCTTAAAGAAACTCTGACTAGGATTTCTCCGCTGCGGAGTAAAGTTCATCTTCTGAGGCACTGAGGGCAGTGGCTCGGATACTTGATCTTCTTCGTCTTCTTCAAGTACCTCTGTGCCCTCCTCGTCGAGCTCTTCCTGCTGTACACTCTCATTTTGTTGCTCAGATATTTCCTGCATAGAAGTGTCGTGCTCTTCTTGTCTTGGGGAAGCCGTTTCCTGTCGACTTGGCGATGACATGTTCGACCGTGAATCTGACCGAGAATATTCATCGTTTTCAGGTTCTTCAGGCTGGTCGTTCCTCACCGGGGGCTGAACAGGGCGTATAGGAGAGAAAAAGCCTGCCCTTGGCTGCCCTCTAGGTACAAGCTCCTCTGGTGGTAGCTGTGGGAACATGGAGCTTGTCGGGAGGGTTTGAACTGTCTCCGTCGGCTGAGGCTCGGTCTCAGTGGACCGCGCTCCAAAGACGGACATCTTCTTCAGAGGAGAGAGCTTGTCAGCCAACATGCCTGGGATCGCAGCCGGTGAGGAGAAGAAAGTTGAGAGGTCGAAACGGCTCGCTTTGGCGGTAGCAGGAGCCTTATCGGATTCTTGAGGAACATCCCTTTGAGCGACAAGAGAATACTCCTCTGCTTGAGATGGTTCATCCTGCACAACATCCATGCTTTCAGGTTGAAGCGCGGTCTCTTCTTCCAGGTGTTCTTCATTCTCTTCCAGTTCATTCCTTGTCTGGTCTGTAGCCTTTGGGGGCCGTTTCGTTCCCCTGTTGGCCTGCCTCCTCCAAGGGCTTGGGAGAGTGCCTCGTCTGGGGATAGGTGACTCGGGTTTCCTCGCTGGTGAAGGCTGACGGGCTGTATGAGGGCTAGACCTTTGGGCTTCAAACTCCCACAGATCCATATCATCGCCGGCATCTTCGGTTTCGTCATCTGCGTCATCCACCGGCCCGTCCAATTGGTCATGAGAAATGGAATGTGGTTCGGGAGGTCTGGCTGTTGACCGTGCAAAAGCCTCAAGGGGTACATCTCCTCTGAGGTTGTCGCTTATAGGACCTTCTCTATCAACCCAACTCATTCCACCCTCACTGGGGGCCTGGAAATGCGTAGAGCTTGCTGCAGATTCCCTGGATATTGTTCGGCGATGGCGTGGGGACGAACCAGCACTTCTCCGCTCAAGAGCTTCCATAAAGCTAGCTTGACCTGTATGTCTGGTGTTTGTTCCAAAGGGGTCGTCATAGACTTCATTATCTTTGGAGATCTGGGCAGTTTCGGGGAATGGACGGGACTTCCCAGGACTCGCGTTCGTCCGTTGATTTGGCTGAGTTACCCTTGGACCCAGCTCTCTAGAAGCAGATCGCCTGAAAGGGCTTCGCAAATGATGGTCGCGGGCCTCCGGCGTTGGAGGATCCGAGGTCACGCTCTGCAAAGCTCGCCCCGCCCTCATAATGGGTGACAATGTGGGACGTCTGACTCTCTCTGGTGGCACATCAGGCAACGATTGAGGTTCCTGGATAGGCGATGTAAGTTGATTTAGTGGCGTGACTTCTGGCTGCTGCATTTCGGCCTCTAAGGACAAATGGGGTTGCTGAGGTACAACGATTTCAGGAATCTCTTGGGCCTCTTCAGGTTCCTCTTCGACCGGGTCTTCCATAACGGTCTCTTCCAAGGGCTGATCATCTGCAGCAGAATGGTCATCAGGTTCAGGGACAATAGTCATATCCATGATAGGTTCATCATTGTTTTCGGGTATTTCGACTTCAACAAAAGCCTCGTTGGTGACTTTCCCGGTCGCTTCAACAGCTTGATCAACGATTTCTTCGTCAATCTCTATCGCTTCAAGTGATACCTGGGCTTCGGTGGGGGGCTCAGGTGATGAGTTCCTCGGCAGTGAGTCTCTGGAAGATGCAGACCTAGCTGGACTCTGCGATACGCTTGTTGACTTCGGGGCAGTATTGTTTCCAAAATCGATATTTGGAGGGGTGTCGTCAGGGGTGGGGAGGCGCCCGCCATCCGAACGAGAGATAGCGCTTCCAACCGAAGCTTCTGGAGGTTCAGCCTCCTCTTGTTCTTGCTCATCGACTGAATCTTGATCTTCGACTGTCTCCTGTTCTGTTTCTGCATCTTGTTCTTCAACTACTTGCTCTTGTTGCTGTATCTCTGCTTGCTGGGGCTCATCTTCAGACTGGATAAGGTCCGCATCTTCCATTTCAGCATCCTCTGTCTCTGATGGGGCTTTCTTGGCCATGGCTCGAGGACGGCGGGGGGTGGCTGCTTCAAGTACTGCATCAGGTATCTCTGAGAAAGAGTCGTCGTACAAGTTTGAATTATCGATTTCGAGATGTGAGGAGTCTTGTCGTTGTGTTGCCAGAGGAGATCCGCGATATTCAACCTCCGGATTGTCTCGCGTGTTTGACTGCAACACTTGCCGTCGCAATGGAGAAGAGCCCATCCTTCGCGGAGTCTGACGCCATATGGAAGATAAGTTGCGGATGGGTGAAAAAGTCATGGGTGGGCGAATACTAGATTGTCGGTGTTCATCTCGAGGCTCAGCGGGAGGAGCGGGAGGAGCGGGTGCCGATGGTTGGGGCTCCTTGTCTTGCTCAGCGGTTTTCTTGTTGACGTTAGGTCTATCGCGATCCTGCAGAGACTGCCGTAGAGACTCCAAAGTGTTGTTAATAATTAGGCTGGTTTCCTCGCCAATGTCGTTTTCGGCGATCTCTCGAACAGAGCTGCGCATACTCGCTTGTAGCGAGGGCAGCGAGTCCATGAATATCATGCTAAAGTCTTCACCCGCTGCGACCGTATCTTCGTTCCCAGAACGAGTGTCGCTTTGAGGTTCGTCTGCCGAAGATACGTCGCTTCCAGCTGGTCCATAGCCATAGTCTCCAAAATCTGAGAAATCATCTGCTCGTCCATGGTCCGGACTTGAAGGAGCAGGCGCATTTTGGATTGCGCGACTCCCAGGCCGCGGCGTTGGTTCATCATCTAATGTTGCCATCCAAATATCTGAGTCCGGTTCTTCTTGCTGAGCGGGCGCGCTGTTATTCGCGGTTCGGTTTGCGCGTAATTGATTTGCCTCAGCTTCTGACGGCGTGATGACCAAAGTCACATCGTTGTCGGCTTGTGAGTCGTCGGCGCGGAGAGAGGGCAGGTCGGAGGCATCACCAGCAACCTCAATCTTATCGAGAGCTTGACTTTCTGATCTGCTACTCGTCTCTGAAATCCCCCTCGCGTTTTGTTCGTCTTCTGTGGGATTTGGTGGGTCAACAGGACGGTTCTTCGGTGGTCGGCCTCGTCTTTTTGTTCCTGGTGTTGGCTGCGCATTACTTTCTGCCGATTTGTTTGGTGTATCTGTGTCTTTTGTCGTGCGTTGTCTTCTCCGGGGGCTTCCATGCATCGGTGTTATTGACTTTCTCTTCGTGCCTGTACTGGGTAGCGGTGTGCCGTTTGTTTTCCTCGGTCGTCCTCGTTTCCTAGGAGTCGCGTTGTTATCCTCCTCGATCGGGCCCTTTAGCGGCACAGTCGTGGTGGTGGTCGCCATTTCTCTGCGTCGCGATATCGGTAGGTAAGGGCTGTCTTGGAATAGTTTTCGTCGCGCGCTGCTGGGGCCTGCAGTCGCGCTTGGTTCCTCTGTCTCGACCGTAACTAGTAATTTCTGGGGCGCTTTATTATCTCCAACCTCGAGTTCGAAAGTCTGTTTCCTAGGAGAGGTTCCTAAGCCCATGGAGGAGAAGCGGCTGGACCGTTGGCTGCTGCGGACGACACGGCGCGTGGATGGAGGGGGCATGACACTTTGTTCAACGGTATCGTTTAGAGGATCGGGTGACGACATAATATCCGCGCTGGGTGTGTTCATATCAGCAAAA